TTATTATTATTTTTATTTTCATTAAATTAAATTAAATTAAATTAAATTAAATAAAAATCTAGAAAATTCAAATACAAAAAAAAAATAATAAAAATAAAAATAATAAGAATAAAAAAAAAGATACTTAGGCGTTACAATTGAAGTCAAATAAGTCTTTAGAGATTGGAGAAAAGGGCTTCTAGAAATCTTCAAGCAAGCTCTTAAAGTTCTTACTTTCTTTTCTTTTTCCTTCCCTCTCTCTCTCTCTCTCTCTCTAACCTTCACCCCTTTTTTCCCTAAATATTCTAGGAATGCGAGAATAAAAATGATGGAAAAGGAAGAAGAAATGGGTTTGTGTGCAAATGAGGAGAAGAGGGGACTTTAAATAGATTTCAGAGGATTTACGTATGTGCAATAGGTGGCGAGTAGGTGGAGAGAATGATTAATAGTGGAGCCTACACGGCATGGGCAAGCTTGCCGGACGAGATGTGAGAGTGGTTGTCACATCTTCTGGTGGCTGACAGCTCACACAGACAGCCATGCTGCGTGTTGTGTGTGTGCAGGCAACCATGTCGCGCGTTGTGTGCGTGCAAGCATGTCTTGTCGTGTTATGTAGACATAGGGTGATGCATGCGCACTATCAGGTATGCCCACGCGTAGTGTTGCGGTCATTTCGCGGGATTTTGGTGATTTTCCCCATTTTTCTTCCCTTTTTTCCTTTTTCTTTTATTTTATGAAGATATTAGAATAATTATTCAAACAAATTTAATTCGAAAAAATTATAAATTTTAAATAGAAGATGATAAAATTTAAAATGTAGAAATGTTAGTAATTAAAATACTAAAAAATTAATTTTCGATTTAAAATAGAGTTTAACCATACATTTAAGTGCAAAGGTTCGAGGTGTTATAGTTATATTGTTAGTGACGTGGTAGAGTGTTGGACCCTATATAACGAGAGTCCAGTAACCCAAAGCATCTCTAGCTTATACTTTAATATGAGTAGCATGAGGTACGTCGAATTCTGGGTGAATTAATAAGAACTACCTTGTAAGGCTAAATATTGAGAAGGAATGTAACTCTATTGTGGTAATTGTATTTTAGGAAAACTTTAGCTGTATATTTTTTTTTTCTATTTTCTACTATGATACTATTTTAATTTTCTCTTATGATAGTCTTACATAAATATTCATTATTGTTAATAAAATATGATTGTGCCTTTAAATCTTTTAAATACTCATAAGTGTCCGATAACAAAGTAGTACTGCGAGGGAAAATGCACAAAAGTTTGAAAAAAGTACAAGAATTTCAATCAAAAAGATTTTAGATAGCTTCCATTGGAGAAGCTTAACTAACCCAATTATTTTCATCAATGTTTTTTTTTTTAAAAAAAAAAATTATTGTGTTTTAGTACTTCTATATAATGGTAAGTTTAATGTTCATGTAATTTTTAAAGAGTTTGTAATTTTTAATTTTTAATAGTAATATTTAATTGTATTGGATCCAAAATTCATAGTTCTCATGCAATTTATCCTAAGTATTTATTATTTTTATGATCACCTTTAATCATCTAATTTTATAGTTAAATATTAATTTTTTTAGAATAGAGTGAGATATAAAATTCAAACTCTCAAATTGTCAATTTATAATAAAAATATTATATTATGTAAATTAAAAGTTTTTAGTAAATAGTAACTTAAAATGAGCAAACAGTCATTTCGGCCTATTCACCACGAAACTTTTTGTGAGAAGGCACCCGTTCTCCTAAAATTAAAGAGCTATTTTATTGTATTTCTTAAATAAAGTTATCTCTCGTCCCCTCTGCCTCTTATTATCTCTCAAAAATTGGGAGCACTTTGCATCCTCGAATCGATAGCCATCTTCTGGCTAATCTAACCTCCTCCATTCCTCGAATATTTACTTGCTATCTATCGACTCAAACTAAAATATTTTATTTTAAAATAAAACACATTATAAGTGATATTTTCAAAATAACTCAAAAATTCTCACAATTTACCACGCCTCAAAAGGATACAAAGAAAGAATACAACATCTTAAATTCTTAAAGGTTATTGCATTTTAAATTTTCAATAATTTTTGTATAATAAATATTCAATCTCTTCGTTTTTGCTTTCTACGCTGCAAATGCCACCCCTACGTAACCTGGGCTTCAGTCCATCTAAGTCACGGGCCGGTGCAACTCGACCCGGAAAAAGTAGCTCTAATTAAAAGCCATTTCTTTATCTCCGCCGACCCCAGAAGAAAACCCTAACTGCTGATTTCAGTATATAAGAAACTCAAGCGGCCACGCGGGTTTCTCTTAGTTGCCGCAGCTCTTTCTTCTCCGCCTTTCAGACAGACACAACAACAATCATGGTAAATTATGGTTCTTCTTCTGCGACTGTATTTCTCTTATATATGTTTTCGCCTGTGTATATGAGTTCTTACATATACGTAAATCTATAGATCTTTGTTGATCGTAGTTGTCTTGTTTAGGTTGACATGGTTCTTTAATGTTTTACTCGGTAAAAGAGTTACTTTAATCCTCCTAGATGCGTTTTACATTTTGGACACTGTTCAGGATGTGTTCTTGGGTGTCTCTGACTTAAAGCCGAAAAAATTTATGTGTTTTCAAAACATTAGGGATCGTTTTTTGTTCAATTCCTTATCGATCTTCTTTGTTTCTTATCAAGCTTTGGTGATTTAGGATATACATTGTTGTAGAATTGGTTCGGATCATTTTTTATGCTAAAAGATTGAGCAAATTGTGCAATTTTGTTTGTTTACTGGCATTTTCATTATCAAACGGTGGAAGGCTATTTGATAAAAGTATTTTAAAGTAAGAACTGTAATATTCTAATTTTAAATGATTGTTTCCTGCTACGTTTTTGTGTTATCACTGCTATGCATGGATTCAATATTTTTATTATATGTTGACCGTTATTTTTTCCCTCTTATTTGATTTTGATCTGCTCATATTTTTTTTGGTTTGACTCCCTTTATTTTGCTTTCCAGACCAAGAGAACTAAGAAGGCCGGTATTGTTGGAAAGTATGGTAGGTGCATAAATATTTCTTATTGGGTTAGGGCTCTTATGTTTACTTCTAAGAAATCCTCTTCTTTCTTTCCGAATTAAAGGTGTAAAATTAGGATATCTTTTTCGATTTTCTCTCTTTAATGTTTAATGTGTGTGAATTAGGTACAAGATATGGGGCTAGTTTGAGGAAGCAAATTAAGAAGATGGAAGTCAGTCAACACAGCAAATACTTCTGTGAGTTCTGTGGAAAGGTACAACATTAATGGTTATACAGGAAAACATGCATGTGTAAATGTTAGCGTGTTATCTTACCCTGAATAGTTTACATTCAGATTTCTTTTGAGGGAGAGAGATAGCTAAGCACTGGAATCTGTGGAATATAATGAAAATTTATGGAAAGGAATAGAATAGAAAATGTTTTACATTTTTGAGTAAGATTGTGATAGAATCATGGAAATGAGGATAAAATATTCTACCTTGAAATGTGCAAAAGACAAAAATAAGGTTGTTATCTATGCACATGATTAAAGAATGAAGGTGTTCAAGTGAATCATCCGAATTAAATTTCACATCCATGTCTATTCCATCCATTCTCTCTCAAACTGGGGGTGAAAAATTCTGGGTATTTTAGGGAGATTAGATAGAAATTGTTTACTGTCATTTTGATGGTATCAGTAATTAATAGTCTTCTTAAAAAATATTTTATATTTGTCTCCTTTCTACATGACTTCTCTCGTCTGCCAAGCATAGCCTTGGGCTATAATATTTCTCTTTCTGCAGTATGCAGTGAAGAGGAAGGCCGTTGGAATTTGGGGCTGCAAGGACTGCGGGAAAGTCAAAGCTGGAGGTGCTTACACATTGAAGTAAAATCCGAATTCTTTGTCTCTTCACTTATCCTCCTCTTCAAGTTTCTTTCAAATTTTCACTCATCCAAGTTACTAATACAATGCTGTTGTTAATTTAACAGCACTGCTAGTGCGGTGACCGTGAGGAGCACCATTCGGAGGCTGAGAGAGCAAACAGAGAGCTAAGTCTTGTAGTGCTGTTTTAGGATATTGGAATCTATGTTCTAGTTGAAGACTAGGATCATTTTTGCTCATGATTATCATTTCTATATTTGAAGCACTAAATGTGCAATGGGGAATTATTTGATCAAATTTTTTAATCTTGACGACTTTTTGATTTTAACCCATAATTTTAGGTAATGGTTATTAATTTGATGAAGTGTGTTTGCTGCCCTTTAATGTGTGTTATAGACATTTTACAATTTTTGGTTTCTTAAGAGTAATTTTCTGTATTTTGTTTAGAAATTTTAGTTTCAAATGTGATGTCATCATTAAGACATAAGTATTTTCTTGTATATGGAAGTCTTGACGGTTGTATTATTGATAGCTTCTATGGCAAGTTTACTTGGTCGATGGTGGTAATGGAGGCCACAATATTTTAAATTTTATCTTATATTATTAAATATTAGTTTTTTAGTTCAAGTCTGTTATATGTCATAAAATTGCTTTAAAAATTGAATTCCAAATACATAACAGTAAAAGCAAACCTGATATTTTTTGGGATCAGAGCATTCTCAATAAAATTAATGCCAATTTATGGGAAACAAAAGGTAAGACAGATTGATTTTCTTTTATTGGATGTCTAGAAAAACTAAGGAACTGAGTGCATGCAAAATGTAAAATGAAATCCACAAAATTCACCAGACAATTAAATAGGAGAAAATGACAACTATTCAGCAATGCTGGAAAAATGAGATAATTGTTTTGTGCTATGTGAGCATTCTTACACAAGTGTTTATGTTATCTCCTATGTATTTGTGTGTGCAAAACTTCAATTTGTGATTTAGGGGTCTATATTTGGAACCCATTTATTTACGTGTCACTTTGAGCTGTGGGTAGACTTGTAGGGCTCCATGCTTTTGGGTTCTATTTGGTCTAGTCATGTGCTCCTTCATGTTGTTCAACATGTCACTTTAGTGAAGTTACTTGTTTTCCAAGATTCACCAGAATGAATGGCAAAAATAACTATTATTAGAATTACTGTCAAAACAATATCTGTTTTTTAAGAGGTGTCTAATATTGCAAATTGGTTTGAACTATTGTGAGGTAATGTATTTGTCGGTAAGCTTCAAAATTATTTTTATCTTACCGACTATTTTTCATTGCAAAAATTACTTAATTAACATTTAATATTTTACTATAAAGGAAAATTTTCAGTACGAGGAAGAGTTAGAAGTATGTGGATGGGGAGATGAAGATTTATGATAAGGTTGATGTCGATTAATTTAAATGGTTTATGTTGAAGGGATTCATGGTTGATTTATGTTATACAAGCATAAGTAGGACACATGGTTACTACTTGGTAGGAGTGTAGATGATGGCGGGTTAAGATGGTTAAACAATGAAAAAGCATGTCAAGAATGTCGTGGATTCATTAATAGTGGTGATACCATGGACATTTTCCTCGAGGAATATGTTCCATTTGATTTGGAATATGTCCACTAGCTAATGGTTTCATGAGAGACATCTACTTATAAGATGTATCTTATATTTTTATTTACAATAAAAAAGTTGTTTTTGCAAGTTCTAGTAGACCAGAGAGACAAGTTGAAGTAGATTAAGAAAATTCTTCCGCATAAACAAGGGAGTTTAGACATGAAACAGATGTATTACAATTGCACAAGTGTATGATAATGACATCATAGATGAATTAGATTGTGAAAGTTCTCGATATTTAGATATAGATGTGGCATATAGCAGTTATGAGAGTAATTATTTTGAATCATCAAATTCAGGTACTTACTTGGATGGTGATGAGTATTCATCGGATAATGATGTAGATTCTATGCCTAGGCAAAGGAGTTTCCATAGTTTGCCATGATTGGTCTTTTAATATGTTGTTCAAAGAAGCAAATGACTTTAAGAAAGTTGTTATCAAGTATGTTGTAGCAAAGGGGGTTCAATTTCAATATAGAACAAATTTTAAGTTGGTTAACACTCGATAATATTGCAATGTCCATTCAACAATGTGATCTTCCTTAACAAATGTTGATTATTATTCTTAAGTATTGATTTATTATCATTAATTCTCAAATTGTCACACATGTTTAACGGTTTGGAATTGATATTCACTTTCTTTCACATTTTTCAAATAAAAATAAATAAATGTTGTATTGACAACATGTTTAATAAGGTGATAGGATTACTCATAATATATAATAATACACACGTTAGTATTTCATTTCAGCATGTATCCTTTAGTAATTAAGGTGTAAAATATAATTGAATTACATATTTTAGTTTCTTAGTACTCATAAAAGGATAAAGTTTTAGAGAAGTTATTAAAAGTTCTTTGAAATTAAATTGATCAAGTATTGCATATCTTACATATAATATCATCTATTCAACTACATATTTGTAATAAAATAACCAACCAACTAATCCGCAAAAATTAATTTGTTCAATATACAACTTACAAGGCCAACACGAAGAAGTTAATTTAAGGATGATTATTCAATTCAAGATATAACATGACACTCCCTAAATAAAGATGATGATTAAAATTCAAGTCACATTTCCCAACTAGTCTAAAAAATGCAAATTACAAGAATAGTTTATCGATCGAGTATATATGTTCTTAATCTAAACTAATAAAAACTTACTTGAAGGTTTTAAATCCCATAATAAATCATTGTCTAAAAGGATAAATTAGTTGCCTCCACTAAGATTAATAAGCAGATTATAATAAGGTTTAATACTTTACATCAAAGAAGTCTCTTAGATTTCGGCTAGCCTTTTGACCACCCATTAGACAATGAATGAGTGAGAATGATAAAAGGCTTGTACAATTCTAGGGAAATGAACTTGTTATAAAACGAGCTTGATGTGAATGAGTAAATAAAAAATCAACTTATAAGTCAGTTAAAGAAATTTTAGATCAATCGATAGTAACACATGAAAGAATGAACCAAGTCAATGAATCTAAAATAAACATGTTAATTTATCATTACGAGCTTTTCAAAATGCATGAAAATCAATCCATTATGGATATGTCTATTTGATTCACTGGTATCCTTAATGATTTGTAATCTTTTAGAAAAACTCACTCTTATGGTGAATTGGTAAAAAAGATTCTTAGGTGCCCACCAAGATCACGGGATACAAAATTGATTGTCATTCAAGAAAGCTAAGGATCTCAATAAATTGAACATCGATGAACTCTTATGATGACTATTCACCTATGAACTCAAAATGAAGAGGGTAAAAAGTGAATAAAACAAAAAGAAGAAAGCCATTGCTCTAGAAGCTTCCATGAAAAAAGTGATGATGATGAAGAAATAGCACTCATCACAAAAAGATTTAGAAGACTTATGAAAAGAAAGAAATTTAGTGGAAAAAAACTACCACCAAAAGGAGAATCAAACAAGAAAGATCCCATAGTTTTTTATGGGTTCAATAAACCACAACGGATGATAATCGATGACCTTCAAGCTAAAAAGAAGAATAAGAAAGAGGTAATGCTAGCAACATGAAGTGACAATGAAGAGAATAGCTTCATAAAAGAGGAAGAAAATAAAGTTCCAAACTTGTACTTCATGGCCGTGAATAAAGAAAAGAGTAAGTATGATCTCACCTTGATTACACACATATGAATTACTAGATGCCTTTAAGGAATTTTATGATGAACGAATGAAATTAAGCACAAAGAATGATAGGTTCAAAGAATAGGTATAATCTCTTTCTAAAAAGGTGAAAACTCTAATAAGGAAAAATGATAAATTAAAAACAAAAATGAAAAAATTGGAATATGCAAATATGACGGATGAAAATCTTGCATTAGAAAAGAATATCAAAGATTTAAATGGTACACTTGCCAAATTTATACAAGGAAAAGAAAAATTAAATACATGAATGGGTATGATAAAGGAGGACTTGGATATGATCCCTCTAAGAAATAAAACGTTTCTTAAAAACTTCTTTTTGAAATCTATTAATCAAAATAATTTATGTATTAATTGTAATTTTTATTGAAAAAATTGATGTATTTTGCACTCATACTCCATTAACAAGAATAGACATAATGGTCTGAAAAGATTTAGGTTCCATAAAACATTCACAAACTTCAAAATATTTGGGTACCAAAACCTACAAGGTGAATACATTTTCTTGTAGGTACGCCTCAAGATTTAAAGTATAAAAATGTTGGTACCTCGATAATGGATGTCGAAGACACAACTAGAGTTAAAGATGCTTTCAAGGAGCTCAAATTGAATATTGAAGGAGAAATGAAATTTATAGATAACAACAAAGGTAAGATAATTTGAATTGGTGAAATAAGTAACAATTTTACTTCCATTGAAAATGTTTTGCTTGTAGATCTTAAATACAGTTTATTAAGTATTAGTCAATTATATGAAAAGGGCCATAGAGTTATCCTCGAATTTGAATATTTCTTTTTTATTGACATAAAAGATAACTTAACTAAAGTTGTTGGCCATAGGCATGACAATGTGTATGTGATTTACCTTGATGATTTGACTACTTCTCTTGAAACTTGTTTGGTTGCATTGAATAATGATTGTTTGCTATGGCATAGGAGGTTAGCTCATATTAACATGGATCAATCTTAAAGCTCTCTAAGAATGAATCCTTTAAAGAGCTTCAAAAAATGACTTTTGAAAATGATAAAGTTTGTAAGACTTGTCAATTAAAGAAACAAAGTAGATCATTCTTTAAATCTAAGAATATTGTTACTACTATTAGACCACTAGAGTTCTTTTGCATGGACTTGTTTTAACTTACTAAAACCATAAGCATACGGAGGCATTATATGGCTATATAATAGTGGATGGTTATTCAAGATACTCCTGGATAATCTTTCTTACTTACAAAGATAAGACATTTCATGCTTTAACAAACTTTGCAAGAAACTTTAATATGATAAAGGAATTGAAACGTAAGCATTAAGAATGAGAATGGTAAAGAATATGAGAATCAATAATTTGCTACCTTCTATGAAGAACATGTACATAAATCCCTCCAACAGAATAGTATAACAGAATGAAAGAATAGATCTTTTGGAAGAAATGGCTAGAACCATTATATGTGAAAATAATTTGCCAAAGCAGAAGCAGTTAACATAACTTGCTATGTACTAAATAGAATGTTAATTCGCTCATTGCTAAACAAAACACACCATGAGATTTGGAAAGAAAAAAAACCAAATATTGGTTACTTTCACTTCTGGGTGTAGATGTTCCATTATTGAATAACAAGAAAAATAACCTTGGAAAATTTGATGTTGTATAATGAAGAAATATTTCTAGGATACTCAAACCTCTAATAAAACTTATAAATTCTTTCAAAAGAACACTAGTAATTGAGGATCCATGCATGTTGTCTTTAATGAACCTAATCATTTATCTCCAAAGAAAAATGATGAAGATGAAGAAATAGACATAATAAACTCACCAAAGAAAATAAATATTAAAGAATCATGGACTAATAAAAAGAAATGACACTAAAGAGGAAACACGTGATATCTCATATAGCCTAAATGAAGAATAAAAAATACATAAAAGCCTACCTAAAATTTGGAAATATGTTAATGTTCATCCTAAAAAGCAAATTGTACGTGATACATTACATAGAGTAAGAACTAGAAATTCCTTCAAATAAATGTCATTTATTGTTGTCCATATTCTAAAAAGAAACCAAAAATTTTGAAGAAGCAAAAAATGATGAAAATTGGGTAAGTGTCATGCAAGAAGAATTGAATCAGTATGAAAGAAATAAGATATGGAATCGAGTACCACGACTCCAAATGGATGAGAATGGGGTAATTATTAGAAACGAAGTTACATTAGTAGCAAAAAGTTCAATCAAGAGGAAATAATTGATTTTAATGAAAACATTTGCTATAGTAGCTAGATTAAAATCTATTAGAATACTAATAGTTTTTATTTTTACAAAAGATTTTAAGTTCTTCCCAATGAATGTCAAAAGTATATTTCTAAATAGTCTTATAGAAGAGGAGGTCTTATGTAGAATAACCTAATGGTTTTGTAGACTCAAACTTTCCTAATTATGTCTACAAACTCATCAAAGCCATGTATGGTTTCAAACAAACTCCAAGAGTTTAGTACAAATGTTTTATTAAATTCTTCCTTGAAAAAGGGTTCACAAGAAGAAACTTGGCAATTCATTAATTTAAAAAGACTAAAAGAGAATATATCTTAATTATCCAAGTATATGTGGATGATATAATTTCTCGTACAATTAATGAAAACATGTATAAAGAGTTTTAAAAAAGCATGTAAGTTGAATTTGAAATAGGAACTTAAATTGTTCTCTAAGCCTACAAATCAAACAATTAAAAAAAAAAAAGAATAAAAAGAAAGAGATAGTTAGACCGAAGCAAATACAAAAAAAAATAATAATAATAACAATAATAATAATAGGCTAAGACATAGCCTTCCTCTTGCTTCTTTGTGTTTATTAAGCGTGTTTCCCCTTTCCAATGGGGAAGATAAAGGGGCAATTGACCTTGATATTCACTTTTTTTTTTCTTATTTTTTGAATAAAAAAATAAATATAAATATTATAACAAAATTAATAAGTTACTCAAACATATAATAAATTAAAAAAATATATAAATTTTTTATCTCGGCATGTATTCCTTAGTAAAAAAAAAATATAAAATATAAAATATACTGATTAAGTATGCATATCTGACATATTATGAATAACATCTTCCATCCAGTTACATATTTACAATAAAATGACCAGCTAATTAAATGGCAAAAAACCAATGTGTTCAATATACAAATTACAAGGTCAACACAGTAATTCACCTAGGGGATGATTACTCAATTCAAGATATGACATGAGACACCCTAAATGGAGATGATGACTGAAATTCAAGTCATCTTTCCAACCTGATCCGAAAAATACAAATTACAATCAAATCATTCATGGATCCAAATATATATCTCCCAACTCTAAACTGACAAAAACTTGCTTGAGATTTTGAACCCCGTAATAAATTGTCATCCAAAAGGATGAATTATTTGCCTCAAACTGAGATTAATAAGCAGGAGGACTATAGCAAGGTCGGATACTTGGCATCAAGGAAGTCTCTCAGAGTCCGGGCAGCTTTCTGGCCACCCATCAGTTCAGCTAGCTTCGCCATGGGAAGAACTGCAAGCTCTGCCAAGCTGTTACAGCCATCTATTATAGCCCTGTAGTTAGTATCTGTTACACCAGGAAGCCTTCTCAGAAACTCAACAGCTGACGTATTGTAGTTTTCTGCTCTGCAGCGGAAGAAGTAAAAACTTTAAGTTTCTTGTGTCAAAAACAGATCATATTTCCCTGCTAAGAGTGCTACTGGGTATAGAAAACAACTTATCCGCAGCATTCCTCACACTAAGCAAAGTTTATAAAGACAACTTGTAATATGAAACAGCTTCTTCTACGAAATGGAACAATTGATATCTTAACAATAAGGCTTCAATAACCAGACTAATTCCTCATGCCCTGTTGGAGCACATATAACAAAACTTCAATTTCCTTACCTCACATCATTTTCCACAATACCCTCTTCCGAGGGGACACCAACTCTAATTGCCTTGGCCTCCTCAGGCTCATCCTGATTTGTCTTTAGCGAAGCAAATATCTCAGCAGTTGCATATAAACTGCGTGACCAGATTATACGCAAACGTGGAAAATGTAGGACCAGTAATGAGAGCTTTGATATGATACTGTTTGGTGTAACATCATCCCCAATGTCACTAGCTGACTGCACAGATGAAGTCAACAGATTGAATCAGCAAAAAGTATTAAGTTTTAATAGATTTCCTATACCAAGATATTGAATATAAATCACCTGAAATGAAAAACTTTTATCTTGAGAGAACTCTATGAGAAGAACAGGTATTCTATAGTACCGCACCATACTTTCAACTTGGTGATATAAACGACCAGATGTGAAGCTACTGAAAAGATCTTGGATACTTTTTCTCTCTACACATAATAATGGCGACAAGATATAGTCCCCAACTTCTAATGTGACTGGTATTATGCGCATGCCTTTCAGGTGAAGCATATTTGGAAGGCTACTCATGAACTCCCTCACATCCACTATGACCTGAAAAGATAGGGAAAACATGAACCACTTTTACTTCGTCACAAATAGGAGAATTTGTAGGAAAGGCCCAATATGACACCTGCATTTCTTTCTCAGCTTCCTTTCTTCCACCTGCCTTTCTTGTTATTGAATTTTGGGTACTTGTAGCTTGTAATTGAGTCGAAGAATTTAAACACCGGTAGAGCCCATCCTGATCCAAATCCATGTGACACCCACAAAAAAACAAAAACATAAGTGTTTCTTTAAGGGCACTTCTTATCAATGCTATAGAGGTAATTAGTTGCTATCTTGGGTTAAAAGAAGGATGAATCTAGAGTCTTTGTCCTAAAGCTTGACATGGATCTTTGACAAGACAGCCTACGTGAACCAAAGTGACAATGGGTAACATCTAATATAAATTTTAATTGAATAAACCCATACGTCAAGAAACCTCTGGCAATCAACTACAGAAGGAATGGCAGAATAGGAATTTAACCCACTGGAGGTAAAATAGTCATTTCACTGAACATAATAGGGTTAGGGCTCATTGACCGGATCAACCCTAACCGATAACATCAAATCCCATTTGCCTTGCTGCCACCACAATGGCCGAGCGGTTCCCACCTCTATTGCCATCCGTCTTCATCAGTTGTAGCCGATAGATAGGCTCTTCTCCATGAATCTAAAAGCATAAAAAATAAAAGGAATTTATCTAATAAAATCTCTCTTCTTTTCTCTGCTCTCTCTTTTTCTTTTCTCATGTCCGAAGCCATGAGTAAGACTTCTGACAAAATGGTATCAAAGTGAGACTTCTGACAAAATAGTATCAAAGCCATCGGAGCCGGCCAACACATACGCCAAGGTCGCCTTGCGTACTCAATCCAAGGGTTGGAGACGGAAACCGCTCTGCGATTGTGGCGGCAGCGGCAGAAACAGGATTTGATGTTATCAATTAGGGTGATCCAGTCAATCAACATTAACCTTTATCTGTCCAGGTGAAATGATTATTTTAGCCCCAGCAGTTGAAATTCCTTTTCTCCCCTTCCCTATGTAGTAGACTGCCAGAGGTTTCTTGACCAATACCCTTCCTAATCCGTCAAAGGTGGAATCGGTAAAGCCCACCATGAAGGACGTGCATTAGAGACTTACCAAGTTCATGGATGATTTTTTTGAGTTGAATCATCAATCCGCCAATAGATGGACAATTTTGTCAAAATGACTCGGCAATCCCACCAGCAGCTCAACGTAATCATGGATGGCTCCACAGGGCGCCATTGGGAAAAGGGCCGAAGCAGTCAACAGCGGGGGCGTGCGAAGGAAGAGGCCTCTTGTCTTTCTCATGTGAGCAGCTTGAAAAAGCCCTGAAGTCAGGTTTAGGGATTAAAAGAGTTATGGGATTCGGTTCAAATGAAAAGACTTGGACTGGTTCAATGGAGGAAATGAACCAAACCAGTCCAGTGGAAGTATTTAACTGAACCGGTTTGATCCGAACGGGTCCATTGAAAACCCCTAGACCAAACCGGTTTGTCTACCACACTGAACCGAACTGGCTCAACTCAAAAGTTTTGTCTTCCAAGGATGGAAATTCCCCTACTTGAAGGAATAAATCCCCGCGCTTGAGTTAGAAGGTACGAGAAGTATTTTTTTTGCACACAACACACTAAATGAACAAGAGGTTGAAGTTGCATCTCTTTTTTTCTGGGAAAAATTGCAGAAGTATGCAACTGAGGGTGGTTAGCGAAAATCGAGGAAATACAATAGGATTATTTCGTTGAAGAGCTTTGCTGGATATTTGGGGGGCCATCGTGGAAGGACTTTATAGAAGAAGTTAACAAATTGTCACAAACAGGTATTGTACTAGAATATCAAGAATAGTTCAAGCATTCGCGCACTCTAATAACAGCAAACAATCCCACGCTTTTGGAGAGATTCTTTATATTCAGTTTCATCAGTATTGTCAAACCGAAGTTACAGCCTATGATAAAGCTGCTTAAGCCACACATGTTTAATCAAAGCCTTTGAGCAAGCCTTACTACAGGAATAGTCCATAATTGAAATGCCGAGAAACTCCCATCTTCACGAAAAAAACTACCTACTCATCGGATGGTTCGAAGGGAACGACGACTTGAAAGTCCAAATGAACAGGAAGAGAAGCAGAAGTCAGGATTCAACAGCATCACGCTATAAATATGGTGACCATTATTTCCGGGGACACAACTGCCAAAGTAAAAACTGCGATGGCACTAGAAGAAATATCCAGCCACAAAGACTTGTTAGAAAAGGGAGCGAAGAGAGATAGTGGATGAAGTAAATCCAATAGAAACTTTATCCATACAGGTAATAGAAGGAATATCGGCAGGAACTATCCTTAGAATCAAAGAGACTGTCTGATCGTGATTTGATAGTATTGCTAGACAGTGGAAGTTCACAGTCATTTTTGGATGAAAGGGTGGCTAAAAGAGTTACAAGCGAAAACCACTAATGGTAATGGCGGCAAATGAACAAAAATCACTACGGGGTTGCATGTCCAGATGCTACCTAGATTATGTAAGGTTACAAATTCAAGTACAATTTTCAAGTCATCAAACTCAACGGATATGACATGATATTGGAAGTAGATTGGATGAAACAGTTTATGGTGTTTGATTTTGTAAATGTCACGGTCAAATTCCAGAATGGCAATTTCCTCACAGTTCTAAAATTAGACGATGCCTTTATCCATACAGGTAATAGAAGGAATATCGACAGGAACTATCCTTAGAATCAGAGAGACTGTCTGATCGTGATTTGTTAGTATTGCTAGACAGTGGAAGTTCACAGTCATTTTTCGATGAAAGGGTGGCTAAAAGAGTTACAAGCGAAAACCACTAATGGTAATGGCGGCAAATGAACAAAAATCACTACGGGGTTGCATGTCCAGATGCTACCTAGATTATGTAAGGTTACAAATTCAAGTACAATTTTCAAGTCATCAAACTCAACAGATATGACATGATATTAGAAGTAGATTGGATGAAACAG